AGAAAAAAACATACAACTCTTCAGTGTTTTCAGGCTTACTAAATCAACCGAGTCACGAAGATTGGCTTAAATTTTGAATACGACATCATATGATCTCATTTCGAGTTGAAATGGGTTCCCTATGAAAAAATTTACAATTCTCGTTCACGACTCAAGTCCAAATTATGAATAGAAAAAAACATACAACTCTTCAGTGTTTTCAGGCTTACTAAATCAACCGAGTTACGAAGATTGGCTTAAATTTTGAATACGACATCATATGATCTCATTTCGAGTTGCAATGGGTTCCCTATGCAAAAATACACAATTCTCGTTCACGACTCAAGTCCAAATTATGAATAGAAAAAAACATACAACTCTTCAGTGTTTTCAGGCTTACTAAATCAACCGAATCACGAAGATTGGATTAAATTTTGAATACGACAATATATGATCTCATTTCGAGTTGCAATGGGTTCCCTATGCAAAAATACACAATTCTCGTTCACGACTCAAGTCCAAATTATGAATAGAAAAAACATACAACTCTTCAGTGTTTTCAGGCTTACTAAATCAACCGAGTTACGAAGATTGGCTTAAATTTTGAATACGACATCATATGATCTCATTTCGAGTTGAAATGGGTTCCCTATGAAAAAATTTACAATTCTCGTTCACGACTCAAGTCCAAATTATGAATAGAAAAAAACATACAACTCTTCAGTGTTTTCAGGCTTACTAAATCAACCGAGTTACGAAGATTGGCTTAAATTTTGAATACGACATCATATGATCTCATTTCGAGTTGCAATGGGTTCCCTATGCAAAAATACACAATTCTCGTTCACGACTCAAGTCCAAATTATGAATAGAAAAAAACATACAACTCTTCAGTGTTTTCAGGCTTACTAAATCAACCGAGTCACGAAGATTGGCTTAAATTTTGAATACGACATCGTATGATCTCATTTCGAGTTGCAATGGGTTCCCTATGTAAAAATACACAATTCTCGTTCACGACTCAAGTCCAAATTATAAATAGCAAAAAACATACAACTCTTCGGTGTTTTCAGGCTTACTAAATCAACCGAGTCACGAAGATTGACTTAAATTTTGAATACGACATCGTATGATCTCATTTCGAGTTTCAATGGGTTCCCTATGCAAGAATACACAATTATCGTTCACAACTCAAGTCCAAATTATGAATAGAATAAAACATACAATTCTTCAGTGTTTTCAGGCTTACTAAATCAACCGAGTCACGAAGATTGGCTTAAATTTTGAATACGACATCATATGATCTCATTTCGAGTTGAAATGGGTTCCCTATGAAAAAATTTACAATTCTCGTTCACGACTCAAGTCCAAATTATGAATAGAAAAAAACATACAACTCTTCAGTGTTTTCAGGCTTACTAAATCAACCGAGTTACGAAGATTGGCTTAAATTTTGAATACGACATCATATGATCTCATTTCGAGTTGCAATGGGTTCCCTATGCAAAAATACACAATTCTCGTTCACGACTCAAGTCCAAATTATGAATAGAAAAAAACATACAACTCTTCAGTGTTTTCAGGCTTACTAAATCAACCGAATCACGAAGATTGGATTAAATTTTGAATACGACAACATTTGATCTCATTTCGAGTTGCAATGGGTTCCCTATGCAAAAATACACAATTCTCGTTCACGACTCAAGTCCAAATTATGAATAGAAAAAAACATACAACTCTTCAGTGTTTTCAGGCTTACTAAATCAACCGAGTCAAGAAGATTGGCTTAAATTTCGAATACTACATCGTATGATCTCATTTGGAGTTGCAATGGGTTCCCTATGCAAAAATACACAATTCTCGTTCACGACTCAAGTCCAAATTATGAATAGAAAAAAACATACAACTCTTCAGTGTTTTCAGGCTTACTAAATCAACCGAGTCACGAAGATTGGCTTAAATTTTGAATACGACATCATATGATCTCATTTCGAGTTGAAATGGGTTCCCTATGAAAAAATTTACAATTCTCGTTCACGACTCAAGTCCAAATTATGAATAGAAAAAAACATACAACTCTTCAGTGTTTTCAGGCTTACTAAATCAACCGAGTTACGAAGATTGGCTTAAATTTTGAATACGACATCATATGATCTCATTTCGAGTTGCAATGGGTTCCCTATGCAAAAATACACAATTCTCGTTCACGACTCAAGTCCAAATTATGAATAGAAAAAAACATACAACTCTTCAGTGTTTTCAGGCTTACTAAATCAACCGAATCACGAAGATTGGATTAAATTTTGAATACGACAACATATGATCTCATTTCGAGTTGCAATGGGTTCCCTATGCAAAAATACACAATTCTCGTTCACGACTCAAGTCCAAATTATGAATAGAAAAAACATACAACTCTTCAGTGTTTTCAGGCTTACTAAATCAACCGAGTCAAGAAGATTGGCTTAAATTTCGAATACTACATCGTATGATCTCATTTGGAGTTGCAATGGGTTCCCTATGCAAAAATACACAATTCTCGTTCACGACTCAAGTCCAAATTATGAATAGAAAAAAACATACAACTCTTCAGTGTTTTCAGGCTTACTAAATCAACCGAGTCACGAAGATTGGCTTAAATTTCGAATACGACATCGTATGATCTCATTTGGAGATGCAATGGGTTCCCTATGCAAAAATACACAATTCTCGTTCACGACTCAAGTCCAAATTATGAATAGAAAAAAACATACAACTCTTCAGTGTTTTCAGGCTTACTAAATCAACCGAGTCACGAAGATTGGCTTAAATTTTGAATACTACATCGTATGATCTCATTTGGAGTTTCAATGGATTCCCTATGCAAAAATACACAATTCTTGTTCACGACTCAAGTTCAAATTATGAATAGAAAAAAACATACAACTCTTCAGTGTTTTCAGGCTTACTAAATCAACCGAGTCACGAAGATTGGCTTAAATTTTGAATACGACATCATATGATCTCATTTCGAGTTGCAATGGGTTCCCTATGTAAAAATACACAATTCTCGTTCACGACTCAAGTCCAAATTATAAATAGCAAAAAACATACAACTCTTCGGTGTTTTCAGGCTTACTAAATCAACCGAGTCACGAAGATTGGCTTAAATTTTGAATACGACATCGTATGATCTCATTTCGAGTTTCAATGGGTTCCCTATGCAAGAATACACAATTATCGTTCACGACTCAAGTCCAAATTATGAATAGAATAAAACATACAATTCTTCAGTGTTTTCAGGCTTACTAAATCAACCGAGTCACGAAGATTGGCTTAAATTTTGAATACGACATCGTTTAATTTCATTTCGAGTTGCAATGGGTTCCCTATGCAAAAATACACAATTCTCGTTCACGACTCAAGTCCAAATTATGAATAGAAAAAAACATACAACTCTTCAGTGTTTTCAGGCTTACTAAATCAACCGAGTCACGAAGATTGGCTTAAATTTTGAATACGACATCATATGATCTCATTTCGAGTTGAAATGGGTTCCCTATGCAAAAATACACAATTCTCGTTCACGACTCAAGTCCAAATTATGAATAGAAAAAAACATACAACTCTTCAGTGTTTTCAGGCTTACTAAATCAACCGAGTTACGAAGATTGGCTTAAATTTTGAATACGACATCATATGATCTCATTTCGAGTTGCAATGGGTTCCCTATGCAAAAACACACAATTCTCGTTCACGACTCAAGTCCAAATTATGAATAGAAAAAAACATACAACTCTTCAGTGTTTTCAGGCTTACTAAATCAACCGAATCACGAAGATTGGATTAAATTTTGAATACGACAACATATGATCTCATTTCGAGTTGCAATGGGTTCCCTATGCAAAAATACACAATTCTCGTTCACGACTCAAGTCCAAATTATGAATAGAAAAAAACATACAACTCTTCAGTGTTTTCAGGCTTACTAAATCAACCGAGTCAAGAAGATTGGCTTAAATTTCGAATACTACATCGTATGATCTCATTTGGAGTTGCAATGGGTTCCCTATGCAAAAATACACAATTCTCGTTCACGACTCAAGTCCAAATTATGAATAGAAAAAAACATACAACTCTTCAGTGTTTTCAGGCTTACTAAATCAACCGAGTCACGAAGATTGGCTTAAATTTCGAATACGACATCGTATGATCTCATTTGGAGATGCAATGGGTTCCCTATGCAAAAATACACAATTCTCGTTCACGACTCAAGTCCAAATTATGAATAGAAAAAAACATACAACTCTTCAGTGTTTTCAGGCTTACTAAATCAACCGAGTCACGAAGATTGGCTTAAATTTTGAATACTACATCGTATGATCTCATTTGGAGTTTCAATGGATTCCCTATGCAAAAATACACAATTCTTGTTCACGACTCAAGTTCAAATTATGAATAGAAAAAAACATACAACTCTTCAGTGTTTTCAGGCTTACTAAATCAACCGAGTCACGAAGATTGGCTTAAATTTTGAATACGACATCATATGATCTCATTTCGAGTTGCAATGGGTTCCCTATGTAAAAATACACAATTCTCGTTCACGACTCAAGTCCAAATTATAAATAGCAAAAAACATACAACTCTTCGGTGTTTTCAGGCTTACTAAATCAACCGAGTCACGAAGATTGGCTTAAATTTTGAATACGACATCGTATGATCTCATTTCGAGTTTCAATGGGTTCCCTATGCAAGAATACAAAATTATCGTTCACGACTCAAGTCCAAATTATGAATAGAATAAAACATACAATTCTTCAGTGTTTTCAGGCTTACTAAATCAACCGAGTCACGAAGATTGGCTTAAATTTTGAATACGACATCGTTTAATTTCATTTCGAGTTGCAATGGGTTCCCTATGCAAAAATACACAATTCTCGTTCACGACTCAAGTCCAAATTATGAATAGAAAAAAACATACAACTCTTCAGTGTTTTCAGGCTTACTAAATCAACCGAGTCACGAAGATTGGCTTAAATTTTGAATACGACATCATATGATCTCATTTCGAGTTGAAATGGGTTCTGGGAACGACCTTCGACCCAGTTCTTCTTCCACGCCCAACGAATCGATGATCCTCATGGTCGAAAGATGAGGTTCTTGTACTAACTCGAAGTAGCGTAACACTTCTTAAACTTAAATCCATCCTTGAATTTTAGTTTGGAAGAGTTGTGTTCAAGAAAACAAAACCTAGATTGCGAAGCTACTGTTCATCGCAGGAGTTGTGTTCATCGCTATCTGAGATCGAAACAAGAGTTGTGCGAAACCAGAGTTGCGAAACTACTGTTCATCTCAGGAGTTGTGTTCATCGCTATCTTAAATGCGAAACAAGAGTTGTGTTCATCGCTATTTTATCCCAAAGTCTGCGATTTTTGAATTTTTGGCAACGTTGGTAAGAACACCAGGTCTGTGAACACCAGGTCTGTGAACTGCGACTCTTATGGCCGGTAAGAAACAGGGTAAACCTGTGGCAACGCCATCTGTGAACACCAGGTCTCGAGCTGCTGTAGGGTTCAATGCTCTGGACGGTTTGGACGACAACTTCCCTGCACTACTTGGTGGGAAGTCTGAGAAGCAGACTGTGGTGAGCATGGCAGGACCTGGGAGCTCTAACTCTGCCATGGAGATGCTGGTACCTGGGGATCCGATGCTTAGCTCTGGGATGCAGGGGAATGCAAATAAACCTGCTGCAGTTTCTGGGAGCTCTACAGAAAGATACATATCTGGGAACAAGCAGGCCACTGATGCGTTGATTAAAACTCCTGGGCAGCGAGGGATTGAGCATAAGGAGCAGACAGTTGTTCAAACAGACCCTAGGTTTGCAAACAAAGATGGGAAATCTCCTCCAAAGGAACCTGTTAATGCTAAGCCTATGGCAGTAACCCCAGATAACACACAGCCAACAAAGAAACCAACTCTGGCAGTAACCACTGATGCACTTGCACGGGCAGCAACTACTGAACCTTGGAGTGCTCTTTTCAAGGACAATCGTGACCCTAGGCATGGTATCAAACTGAAATATGTCCCTCCTAAAGGAGACACGTTGGACTTTGGTGATCGTATACTACCTTCCATGGTTGAAATGTGGGGCTTTTGCCTTGTTGGGCATTTCACTGGAAACTTTCCCGGACTCAAAGCGGTACATGAACTTAGAGCTACTTGGGGCGTGAAATGTCTTGTAAGGTCCCACAACAAAGGATGGGTAATTTTCAAATTTACAAATGAGGAGGATAGAACAAAGGTACTACATAACGGACCTTACAATGTGTTTGGGAAGCTTCTTATGCTCAAAGAACTTTCGGATGACTTTTCATTTGAAGATGAGGAGTTCCTTAAGGTTCCAATTTGGGTCAAGTTCCCTAAATTACCAATGAAGTTATGGAATGATGAAGCTATGAGTGAGGTGGCATCGATGGTTGGGGTCCCAATAACCACGGACAAGATCACCCAAGAGAGGACAAACAATGAATATGCTAGAGTGTTGATTGAAGTTGATGTTTCAAAGCCACCGCCACTTTCTTTTCCCATCCGACTACCTTCCAAAAAGGTTTTCAAACAATGTGTGCTTTATGAAACTTTTCCTAGCTACTGCTTTCATTGCAAAGAATTTGGCCACCACCCGTTTATTTGCAAAAAGCTAGCTAAACAGGTTGATGGAGCTACTGCTGCCCAGGAGACTGCTGCTGCACAACCGACCGGGTGCTGCCCTGACCCGACCGGGTATAAAGGGCAGAAGTCATCCCAGGAGTCTGCCAATGCTGCCACGGTAAATCGAGTTGACCAGGGAACTGATGTGACTAATCTAACTGCCCAGGAACCTTCTAAAGCTGCTGAAAAAGAACCGGAGGTCATAGTGGAAGATATTGATAGGATTGTGATGGAAGAAAAAGACTTAAAGTTCAATGATGTGGTCATCAAATGTGAGGTAATAAACGGTAAGACACTGAAGTTAGTTGTCAAACCGTTTAGATTTGTGCACGCGAGTGTGATTAGAGTGGATACTTCTCTTCGACTTACAGATGATTTGGATAAGAAAGGACTTACTTTCACCGCCAAATGTCTCGAGGGTATGCCGGGAGTAGCTAAGAAGAAAGGGGAGGTTTGTTTTGACTCAAAATTTACTACTCCCTTCCGAGCTTTCTTTGGAGTTTAAATTAGGGATACCTAATATTTTATTGATGTGGGAGGGAGTGGATCTTGATTTTGTGGTATCCTGTGTACTAGGATATGCACTTTATTTGTAACATTGACCTGTTATGTGTTAAGTAATTTGTGAAGTGGGGTCTGTCCCATATGTTTGATGCATTATATCTAGGTTAGTTTTTTCTAGCTTAGATAGTCATTTTGATTTGGATTGATGCATTGTAAAATGCTATTTTTTTCTTCGGTTTCTAATATACTTACATATTATCGTCGAGTTGAAATGGGTTCCCTATGCAAAAATACACAATTCTCGTTCACGACTCAAGTCCAAATTATGAATAGAAAAAAACATACAACTCTTCAGTGTTTTCAGGCTTACTAAATCAACCGAGTTACGAAGATTGGCTTAAATTTTGAATACGACATCATATGATCTCATTTCGAACTATTGACGGTTTTTTTTTCTAATATACTTACATGTTATCGTCGAGTTGCAATGGGTTCCCTATGCAAAAACACACAATTCTCGTTCACGACTCAAGTCCAAATTATGAATAGAAAAAAACATACAACTCTTCAGTGTTTTCAGGCTTACTAAATCAACCGAATCACGAAGATTGGATTAAATTTTGAATACGACAACATATGATCTCATTTCGAGTTGCAATGGGTTCCCTATGCAAAAATACACAATTCTCGTTCACGACTCAAGTCCAAATTATGAATAGAAAAAAACATACAACTCTTCAGTGTTTTCAGGCTTACTAAATCAACCGAGTCAAGAAGATTGGCTTAAATTTCGAATACTACATCGTATGATCTCATTTGGAGTTGCAATGGGTTCCCTATGCAAAAATACACAATTCTCGTTCACGACTCAAGTCCAAATTATGAATAGAAAAAAACATACAACTCTTCAGTGTTTTCAGGCTTACTAAATCAACCGAGTCACGAAGATTGGCTTAAATTTCGAATACGACATCGTATGATCTCATTTGGAGTTGCAATGGGTTCCCTATGCAAAAATACACAATTCTCGTTCACGACTCAAGTCCAAATTATGAATAGAAAAAAACATACAACTCTTGAGTGTTTTCAGGCTTACTAAATCAACGGAGTCACGAAGATTGGCTTAAATTTTGAATACGACATCGTATGATCTCATTTCGAGTTTCAATGGATTCCCTATGCAAAAATACACAATTCTCGTTCACGACTCAAGTCCAAATTATGAATAGAAAAAAACATACAACTCTTCAGTGTTTTAAGGCTTACTAAATCAACCGAGTCACGAAGATTGGCTTAAATTTTGAATACGACATCGTATGATCTCATTTCGAGTTGCAATGGATTCCCTATGCAAAAATACACAATTCTCGTTCACGACTCAAGTCCAAATTATGAATAGAAAAAAACATACAACTCTTCAGTGTTTTAAGGCTTACTAAATCAACCGAGTCACGAAGATTCTCTTAAATTTTGAATACGACATCGTATGATCTCATTTCGAGTTGCAATGGATTCCCTATGCAAAAATACACAATTCTCGTTCACGACTCAAGTCCAAATTATGAATAGAAAAAAACATACAACTCTTCAGTGTTTTCAGGCTTACTAAATCAACCGAGTCACGAAGATTGGCTTAAATTTTGAATACGACATCGTATGATCTCATTTCGAGTTGCAATGGGTTCCCTATGCAAAAATACACAATTCTCGTTCACGACTCAAGTCCAAATTATGAATAGAAAAAAACATACAACTCTTCAGTGTTTTCATGCTTACTAAATAAATCGAGTAACGAAGATTGGCTTAAATTTTGAATACGACAACATATGATCTCATTTCGAGTTGCAATGGGAGGGACGGAAGTTGAGAGCTGTTCTCTCGCTCGTACGAGTTTCTTCCTCGTTCTCACCCACAAATCCAATCGATCTTCCATTATTTATGGATTCGAAGTAGCAACCTGTTCTAAAACCTAGTTTCGTTCTTCGTTTTGAACTTGGAATGAATTCGTGTTACCTAGAATGGCTGAAATCAATTTCTTTTCGCGAATTTACTGTTCACGAATTCCGTTTCATTTAATTCGTACAGCTTGTTTGGTTCTTGAGAAGTTTTGAGAGTGATTACAGGTTCACGTCTCTGGAGCAACGTTTGTGGTTAATTATCTGAGAAATTGGGAAGAAAACTGTTCTGATTTGGGGATTTTCTACTGTTCATCTTCTTGGCTACGATGACAAGAACGAAACAGGGGTTGGGGGAACCTTCTACGACAAGAACAACCAGGTCATCTAGGTTCACTGTGCTCGAGGCCATGGGGGAAGATTTCCCTGCTCTGAACTCTGAAGCTCTGAGGTCTGCTGGAACAAAACCTGGGAAAAACAATACTGGTGCTGCCTGTTATGCCCAGTCAGGTGGAACAAATGGGATGCAGAATGAAAATGCTAAGAAGGCAGGCAATGTGTTTTCTCCTACTCTACTTGGGCAGCTTACTGCTAATTCCCCTGGGAAAACTGGAAGTGCTGAACAAAGTGGGCAGACTACTCCAAAGCCGGGGCCTGCTCCCAAAACTGCTGTGACTGATTTAGCTGGAATGAAAAATATGAACCAAGATCTGTTGGTGGTTCATGGGCAGTCTACACAACAGGATGGAGCAATGCTTAAGAAAACTGATAAACAAATTGAGGTTGGAGTAAAGCCTTGGAATACTCTTTTTAAGGATAATAGAGATCCTACACATGGAATCAAGCTGAGATATATTCCACCAACCGGCAAGGAGTTAGACTTTACAAATAGAGCACTGCCTTCCATGATTGAGATGTGGGGGTTTTGTTTGGTTGGATACTTCACAGGTAAGTTTCCTGGCCTCAAAGCAGTCCATGAACTGAAAAATAAATGGGGTGTAAAATGCCTTGTTAGCTCCCATAATAAGGGTTGGATTATCTTTAAATTCCACAATGAAGCTGACAGAACTAAAGTTCTACATGAGGGACCTTACATGGTTTTTGGAAAACTTTTAATGCTCAAAGAACTCTCAGAAGACTTCTCTTTTCAGGATGAGGAATTCCTAAAAGTACCTATTTGGATTAAATTCCCTGAACTACCAATGAAGCTTTGGAATGATGAAGCTATGAGTGAAGTTGCATCTATGGTCGGGATCCCAATATCTACGGATAAAATCACCCAAGAGAGAACTAACAATGACTATGCTAGAGTACTAATTGAGGTTGATGTTTCTAAACCACCCCCGCTATCATTTGACATACGACTACCCTCTCGAAGAGTATTCAAACAAAATGTGGTTTATGAAACGTTTCCCAATTATTGCTTTCATTGCAAAGAATATGGGCACCACCCATTTATTTGTAAAAAACTAGCTAAACAAGATCTTGGAGGGACTGTTGGAAAGGTGAGAGTTGCTGGGGCTGATGGAGAACTTAAAGATAGAGTTGAGAAAATTAATGAAACTGGAGATAAACCAATTGCACTGGCTGCCACGGTCGAGGAAGCTAACAAGGAGGTTATAGAGATGGTCGTGCATGAAGAGAAGGCTGCTGATCCAGAACCTGTGACCACGCCAAAAATTTCTGCCACGCTAATAAAAATGGTAGAGCCGGAGAAGGACAAACCAGTTTGTACAAAGCTTGTAATTGCCACGGATGAAGCCCATGTTGAGGTAGATGCTACTTCGGATGGCCATCTTGACTCGGATACAGAAGAGAATTGTGGTACCACTGATTCTGAACCGGATCAGGAACATCATATCAAGAAAAGCACTAAAAAAAGTAGGAGGAGAAAGGGTGAGACAGATGAGAAGTATAAAAGACGGCTTGGAAGAATGTTTGGATGGAAGATAAAATAATCTTTGTATGGGGAAACTACAGCCTCCTTAGATGGACTGAATTTTAGCTTTAGTTAATTTGTGATTTGTGAAGTGGGGATTTCCCCATTATTTTGATGTATTATATCTTGGTTAGTTTATTCTAGCTTAGATAGTCATTTTGATTTGGATTTGATGCATTGTAAAATGCTATTTTTGGGCGATTCTAATATACTTACATGTTATCGTCGAGTTGCAATGGGAGTACATGGGGTTTATCTTAAGGGTAGGAGTGTGTGGGAGTTTGTTCCACATGAGAGAGATTCACAACTATTTAAGAAGATTGCATTGATTCGAGATGAAATACTCTCCAAATTCCCGGACATTCCGAGCGCTATACTTGGCCTAAATGCTCTTCAATTTAATGGCAAGCTTGTATCCTCAAAGGTTTATAATTTGCTTAGGACTAGGGCGGCCACCCGTGTGTGGATGCCATTTATTTGGAAAGATTACATCCCTCCCAAGTTTTCCTTTATTACTTGGTTGGCATTCCGGAATAGGTTAGCCACGTGTGATAATCTTCATAGATTAGATGTGGATAATACTTGTGTATTGTGCAAGGGTGGACCGGAAACGGCTCCACACCTCTATTTTGAATGCCCTTTTTCAGGTAAAGTCTGGACTATGATGAAAGCATGGATTGGCATCCCACGGATGATGGGGACCTTGGCTAGCTCGGTCAAATGGATCAAGAAGGAAAGGAGCGGAGCTAATGTGCAAGCCAAGGCTGCTAGGATTGCTTTCTCATGCACCATATACTGGATCTGGAGGACCAGGAATGCAGCTAGATTTGATGGTTTTTTTCCTAAAGAGGAGGAAGTTCTTGCTAGGATTAAATATGTTGTCTACAAAATTTTGTATAGCATTTATCCTTGTGATTTGGTAGTACTTTGATAACTTTTCCGCCCATCACCTTTTTTGCTTGTGATAGGCCGTGAGGTAGCATAGGGGGGCTGCTATAGCACCCTTAGTTTGGCAGGTGATGGGTTATCCAATCTTTGGATAGCCTACATTTTTGCTCATATTTTTGCTGTATAGATAAACTCTTTGACGGTTTCTAATATACTTACATGTTATCGTCGAGTTGCAATGGGTTCCCTATGCAAAAATACACAATTCTCGTTCACGACTCAAGTCCAAATTATGAATAGAAAAAAACATACAACTCTTCAGTGTTTTCAGGCTTACTAAATCAACCGAGTCACGAAGATTGGCTTAAATTTTGAATAAAACATCGTATGATCTCATTTCGAGTTGAAATGGGTTCCCTATGCAAAAATACACAATTCTCGTTCACGACTCAAGTCCAAATTATGAATAGAAAAAAACATACAACTCTTCAGTGTTTTCAGGCTTACTAAATCAACCGAGTCACGAAGATTGGCTTAAATTTTGAATACG